ACAATCTTTCGATAATTGTAGTATTTTTTTTTCTTTTCTTGCCTATGTGCTGAAAGATGTGGAGGTGTGTATATCACTTATTCATACTTGCGCTTTTCAAAGATCTGAGATTTTGAAATAGACTTTACAGGGACTTTGTATTCATTTATTTCTGTTTCTGAGTCTGATGCTTCATTATTTTTCTCTTAACGATTGTGTTTATTTTATATATTTATTATCTTAATTTTCTTCTGTTGTAGGATGTAATTGGAGAGAGAGGAGAGAGAGAGAGAGAGAGAGAGAGAGAGAGAGAGAGAGAGAGAGAGGACAGAGAGAGAGAGAGAGGAGAGAGAGAGAGAGGGGGGGGGGAGAGAAATAGCTAGCTAGATAGATAGAGATAGAGAGAGAGAGAGACAGAGAGAGAGAGACAGAGAGAGAGAGACAGAGATAGAGATAGAGATAGAAATAGAAATAGAAATAGACAAAGTTTAAATTTAGAGAGAGAGAGAATGCAAAATCAGAGAGACTCCTTCCACCTTTTTGCTTAAAAAGACATATATTCCTGCGTCTCAGAGTGCGTTAATTAAGGACACAAAAAGAGTAAACTGTAACACAAGACATTTTTATTGAAAACTCAAAATACTCTTAGTACAAGTTTTTTTTTTAAGAATTCATAAAAAAAAGTTAAATCAATTCTTAATTTTCTATTTAGTAAATGCAAAAGTATCTCACTAATACCAAAAACAACTAAAAAAACAAAGGAAATATATATCCTTTAGTGGCATCTGAAACATATTCAAGTATTAAAATAAAACTTTTCCCAGATGGGTAAAACTCGAAAAGAAAATACATTTTAAAAAATATCTTACACACTTAAGGTAATAGATCTTGACAATGATACTGATATGACGGCAATTCCATAAATCATTTATTACAAAATCGTTTTTTTTTATCTATCATATATACTCATCATTTCGAAGGAGGCAGAAAGAGATATGTTAACCATTGATATGAATACAAATTACGGTTTATTACTGTATCACAAGAAATCTAGCTAAATACATGAATATTTAAGGGTATATAAGTTAGCATTAATTATGACTAGAATTAAAAAAAAGAAAAAAAAATCAAAATTGAGAACTACTTAGCGCGTGAATAGAAAAAAAAATCAAAAAAAAATTAATAATGATAAAATGAGTAGAAAAAAAATCTTACATAGGATAAAAATGCATTTCTGGAGATAATTCCTTAATCTAGCTATTTTTTTTGGGGGGGAGGGGGAGTTGGGGGTTGGGGAGAGAGAGGTTAGCGTAATAATATATAATTGGGGGGGGAGGGGGATTATTAACCATTCTATCACCCACAATATTGCAGAAATGGTCGTGCATTCTGCTTGGGTTGCAGTATTGACGCGTTGGACCACAGTATGCAGTTCGTCCATTACTTTATTATGTATTTTGTTCTTACGGTAAACGAAAATGTACAGGAGGATAAGAATATTGTGCGTTTGTGTGTATTTGTTTTCAGATCCAATTTGAATAATCCTTCTTTGTAGCTAGGAAGTGTATATATATATATATATATATATATATATATATATATATATATATATATATATATATATACACTTCAATAATTACACAAACTTATGATAGAAATATGAACACGAAAATTCAAATGCAAATCTACAGACGTGCTCTCTCTCTCTCTCTCTGTGTCTCACACACATCTGCCCTCGTGTGTGGCCCTAATGTACAGACATCCACACACGCTCCATATACCTTAAATACTCTGTCTCATACATCCAAGCACAAGTGAAATAAAAAGGTAAGCCTCTATCTAATCTACAAGCGGTGGAAATTAAACTCATCAGTATAGTCTGCCAATGAATAGTTTAGTTTTCCTTTTTTTTTCTTGCAATGAATCATCAGTTTGTTATTTGTATTATCATTTTCTCATTTCACAGAATTAGTGTAACAGGTGAAGTGAATAAGAGTACATTGCCAGGTAAGCTCAGAATGAGGTATTGACTTTAATATAAAACACCTAACAAATCTACACTAAAGAGTCTCTACACCTGACTGGAAGAACACTGTGACGAGTTCGTAATTACATGTAAATACATGAGTAACACATCAATATGCACAGAGGGTAATCATACCATCGTTTGCACTGCGGTATTTAGCATATGCAGAGGGACTTCCGCCGTTACACAACAAGGAGGATCTTCTTAGGAATCACGAGGACCCTGGCAAGAAGTGGGGACCACCTCGTATGCCAAGAGAGAATCCTGCCTTCTGCACGTAGGTGATGGCCATCCTAGAGAGAGAGGGGGCGACCAACCTGGCATTGAGGGGGTTCCTGCTTTAGTGAGCGACCATCCTAGCTGAGAGGATTTTACACCCTAGCACTAGGAAGGACGTCAGCGCTTCCGAAATCTGAGGGACGTCTTCCCTTAAACAGGAGCACTTCCACCCTAACACAGCGAGGGAACACCACCCTCACACGGAGAGAGAGATCTACTCGTTATGCAGAGGGAAGGTCGTCCTACCAGAGGAAGAGGCAGCCACAAACAGCCTCCTCAACACGAGAGGTCTCCCCCTATGTGCTGAGAGGGACGTCCATCCTCTTTCAGCAAGAAAGTGGCCTCTGTCTACCGCTTCTGACGTAAAGTGTAAAGTTTTAACTCTCACGGTGGCACGACGCTAGCAAAAGTGTGCCGCTAGCAAACTGTATAATACGGTACCAGTAAACTCCTGAATACCAGCAGATGGCATAATAACTGTAGACGAAAATACTAGCCCAGGATATAACGCTAGGATATGTTATGATTCTAACAAAGAAATTCATGTTAGTTTGGGACTTACAAAGCTAGAAGAAACACAGACGCTAGCAGGTGGTATGGTACAAATATACATGAAAAGGCTAGCACGAGAAAGTATGGCTAGCAAATGACTCCAAATACATTATGATACTAGCGGGGGAGAAAAAAATACGAAGCTAGTACAAAATATAATGCATACTGAACACACAGGTCTTAGTGGATACACTAGATTTCTACTTACTGGTATGATACTAACCAATGTAATACTATGATATGAACTAAACTCACACAATACCTCGAGCATCGTGTGGTATAGTGATTCCCTCTCGTTCATGTGTTTACCAGTCCAGACTTTTAGCATTAAAACCAACTTGAGGATTCTAGCACCTACGATTAAAGTTAACAGACACTAATACTGCCACGACTCCTGCCCAGCACCCGAGAGCAACCAACAGCAATGCATAAGTCTCGTCTTTCCTTTGGCGTGTTTAGGCCCTCTCCTCTCGCCTGCCTCGCGTTAAGGGGTTTCGGCTTTCTCTCTTCGCCTAAAAAGGGATGGTAACCTTTGCTTTGTTTCTTTATTCCCCTTTCGCCTTAAAGGGATATTAAACTTTTGCCTTTTTCTTTACTCCCCTTTTCGTCTTAAAGGGATATCAAGTTCTTCCTTTTTCCTTACTCCCTTTTTCGCCTTAAAGGGATATTAACTTTTGCTTTTTCCTTACTCCCTTTTCGCCTGAAAGGGATATCAAACTTTGCCCTTTTCCTTATAAAACACTTTCTGGAATATCCTACGTCTTGTACACAGACGAAGACAAAATCCGACACATCCTGGCACCTGCAGAGAAGAGGGCCTTACACATTATAAAAAAAGGACATCAAAATCCGACACCTGGCACTGGCACTGACCCTTTCCAACGCTGAGACCGAACGACCCTCACCTTCTGCCACGTCACACAGGCAATGAACACGGTGGCACCTTCTTGGAGTCTCCGCTGTCACGAATATGAACCTATCTATCTCTGGCCTTTAACTCTGGTTTATCATTTTTTTTTTTTTATATCCGCTGCAGATCTATTGGATTCACACGGGACAACATCGACCTAGTATTTGTTAGTAAAATTTTAAAAACGTTACTGGTGTGTTTCTTGGATGAAGAATCCGGCAAAGTTAAACATCTGGAATCTACTCTACTAAGCTTAGGGAACTGGAATTGAACAATAATAATAATAATAATAATAATAATATAATAAAGATACTAGATAATGATAAAGAATAATGATATTAGCAATATTGATCCAGCAACATAGGACATGCTAAAGAAATGTCAAATGAACAGCTTCAGATTCTACATTCATTAAAATATTTGTCAAAAAATAAGTAAGACCTATTCTTCCTTACGTCGACAAACGTACATATCAATATATAAAAAAAGTATTAAGACATGAAAGGACAAACGCAATTCTCATTTGCAAACATGAGTATCTTTTTCTCTCATTTCTTCCCGTGCCAGAATATATGAATAATAATAATAACAATGCAAAAAAAAAATAAATAAATAAATAAAAAATAAAAAATAAGTAAAATAAAATTTAATAAATAAATTAAAAAATAATGATAATAAGAACAAGAATATCGCTTCTGGAATGAGACTACAGCTTAAAAGATCCTATCCTCTTTAAGTCATCTAATTTTAATGTCCTAAGCAATACACAAAAGTGAAATCAACTGCATCTGTGTACGTGCTAAAACGTACACAGCACAGAGTCAAAATATCTGTAAGATTCACACGGTTTATAGACAAGTTATCAATATACATGTAACCTCAACGACACAAAGATGGTTTTTGTTTATGTTTATGATAACGAGAGTGAAAACTGGAGCTTACTGTTGGTGATATTATACAATATGTGTGCGTTTTTTTCGTGTGTGTTTTTTTTAAGTGTGTGTGTACGTTGGGATCTCGTGCACGTGTCTCGGTTCAAGGAGATCTTTAAACCTTCTTTCTCTGCCACGTGCGAGGGTCATTCGCCTCGCTTTCCGTCCTGTAAGCTTCGAAAGAAGGATAAGAAAGAAACCCCATTAAAAGAGGACATATACAGGAGGGGAATAAAGAACAAAAAAATAAATGAAATAAAATCGTAACAAAAGAGACACATATGGAAAAACTGAAAAGAAACCAAAATGACAAATGTATATATGAAATTCAAGATTCAGGATTTATTTTTCCGAGTCTATTGGTTTCAGATTTTAACGGATTCGAACACTAATGGCTGTCGAACACATGGCGTATCCTCGATTTCCTCCTTTGAGCAAAATTGCCTGTCCTGGAGCGCGGAAAAGAGGAAATTAACGTTTTTCTTCTTGAATCAGACAGTAGAAATGTGCAAAAAATAGGAACCATTTTTTAATTCTTGCATTTCTTCCTTTTTACTAGTTTTCTTCTGCATTCTCTCTCTCTCTCTCTTTCTCTCGTTTTTTTTTCTGTATGTATAAATGAACCTTTTTTTCCTCTCTCTCTCTTTGTTTCCTGCTTTGTCGTCATCTTTCTTTTCTTTTCTTTTTTTTTTTTTTTTGTTTTGTTTTCTTTCACTTTATCTTCCACCGGGAAATTTCAAACTGTACTTTTCCCCCTCTTCTTGTGCTAATATCAAACCGTCATTCCTCAACAAGCGAAGTGTCACGAAAAAAAATGAAATAAAATAAAAATAAAAGAGAAAACGAACGTGCACTCAATATTTTAAATATTAAGATCCTTCCGTGTCCTCCTCTCCCGCTCAGTTGTCGTCCCTCCCCTTGTCGAGCGTCCGGAGGAACTGCTCGTACTGCTCGAGGCTCATTTCGGCTTCGGGCGAGGTCACGTGACGCCGCCTCCGATACCGCGCTTGGCTCGTGGCTTCGATGCACAGGACGGCGAACGAGTTGTGGCAGCCGAGGCGATCCTGCGACAGGAGCCGGTTCTTCAGGAGCGAGGAGGCGAGGCCCACGACGTCGCGGCTCTCGGAGTTCCACGCGTCGCAGTAGGAGGACAGGGACCGCTCGCCGAGGAGGTCGGAGCCGTGCCAGATGTACTTCTGCGGCCTGGGGGGAAGGGAGGGTTGAGTGGGACGAAGATGAGAGAAAGAGATGAAAGGATAAAATGGAGGGTTGAATCACGATAAAAAGAAGAAGTGAATAAGGAGGAAAGAAGGACGATAAAAGATGAGTCACGGGGAAAGAAGAAGATGATGAATGATAAAAAGGAGGGTGAATAACGGAGGAAGGCAGATGGAGATGAGAAGGAGATGAAAGATAAAAAGAAGGATTGAGTCACGGAGGAAGAAGGATAGAAAGAGATGAAAGGATAAAAAGGAGGGTTGAGTCACGGAGGAAAGAAGGAAGAAGATGAGAGAAAGAGAGGAATGGATAAAAGGAGGGTGAGTCACGGAGGAAAGAAGGACGAAGATGAGAGAAAGAGATGGAATGATAAAATGGAGGGTTGAGTCACGGAGGAAAGAAGGACGAAGATGAGAGAGAGATGAAATGATAAAAGAAGGATTAAGTCGGAGGAAAGATGGACGAAGATGAGAGAAAGAGATGAGGATAACAAGGAGGGTGAGACGGAGGAAAAGAAGACGAATGAGAGAAAGGATGAAGGAAAAGGAGGGTTGAGTCACGGAGGAAAGACAAGGACGAAGATGAGAGAAAGAGATGGATGATAAAATGGAGGGTGAGTCACGAGGAAGAAGGACGAAGAAGAGAGAGAGATGAATGATAAAAAGGAGGGTAGTCACGGAGGAAAGAAGGACGAAGATGAGAGAAAGGAGATGAAGGATAAAAAGGAGGATTGAGTCACGGAGGAAAGAAGGACGAAGATGAGAGAAAGAGATGAAAGAATAAAAAGAAGGGGTGAATAACGGAGGAAAGAAGGACGAAAGTGTGAGAAAGAGATGAAAGGATAAAAAGGAGGATTGAGTCATGAGGAAGAAGGAAGAGATGAGAGAAAGAGATGGAATGATAAAAGAGGAGTGAGTCACGGAGGAAAGGAGGACGAAGATGAGACAAAGCAACTGATATGATAAAAAAAAAGACGTGACAAGTCGTAAGAAATAAAGGAATACGAGATAAATCACAAGAATTGACCAAGAGATATCAGACGAATAAAGAATATAGAGAGATGAATAAAGAAGAAAAAATACACCTATATGAAACACATCAAGAAAACTATGATTCAATCGAATAACCAGTCAAACCTATTACCGAAATCCTAAAACGAAAAGAAAAGAAGAGAAAAGAAGAAAAAACAAACTACCTCACGCAAAAAAGAAAGAAAAAAAGTAAAATTTTAAACACGTCAAAATCAAACACGTCCGAAACCCTTTAAAAAGACTACCTCACGTAAAAAAAAAAAAAAAAAAAAAAAAAAAAAAAAAAAAAAAAAAAAAATAATAATAATGATAAATAATAAAATTAAATACAATAATGATAAAATAATGATCAAAAAAAGCAAATCTCACCAGGCAGAATTGGTCAAAATTTCCTTGCCGTCGAAGCTGAAGATACGAGGCTTCTGGGAGAATATTCCACCGGTTCCGGAGAATATTTCACGCCACGTGTTGAAGAGAACCTCGCCCTGGAAGACGGAAACATGAAAAATAAAGGTTAAATTTTTTTTATATTTATAAATAATTTAAAAATAATATTTATATTTATAAATAATATTTTAATAAAATAATATTTATAATAATATTTATAAAAATAAAGATCATCGTATTAAATTTGAAAAAAAAAATGTGATACATATTCATCAACAAGTATACAAATTATATCCAGAGAATAAATAAAAATAGATAAAAAACAAATAACAAAGGAACAAATAAAAGGACCAAGTAATCCAATAATAATAAATAAAATGATGATGATGATGATGATTGATAATGATAAATGATAATGATAATGATAATGATAATGATAATGATGAAAATGGATGATGATGATGATAATGATAAATAACGATAACGATAACGATAATATGATAATGATAATGATAATGATAATGAAATAATAATGACAATGACAATGACAATGACAATGACAATGACAATGACAATGACAATGACAACGAAACGACAACGACAACGACAACGACAACGATAATGATAATAATGATAAATAACTACCTAAATAAATAAAAAAACAATTCTAAATAAATAAAAAACCAAAACGATGATAACTAACTAACTAAAAAAAAAACGCCACGCGACCCCCACGTACCTTCGTGTTGACCACCGGCAAGTTCCTGTCCGCGTACCGCACAATGGAGTCCAGATTCTGCACCCTGGAGGTGAGGAAGGCCCTGAAGGTGCCTGGGAGTCCCTGTAGTCCCCTGTCCGTTCTGCTGGTTGAAGTCTCAGCTGTGGGCGGGTGAAAGGGTTAAAGGGTTAAAGAATGCTATTGGTCTATCTATCTCTCGTTCAATCTATCTGTCTATCTCAGCTGTGGGCGGTTGTGGGCGGTTAAAGGGTTAAAGAATGCTGTTGGTAGGTGTTTGTGGATATCTGTCTATCTATCTATCGATCAATCTATCTGTCTATCTCAGCTGTGGGCGGTTGGGGGCGGGTTGGTTAAAGAATGCATTGGTATTATGGTATCTGTCTATCATCTATCGATCAATCTATCTGTCTATCTCAGCTGTGGGCGGTTGTGGGCGGGTTAAAGGGTTAAAGAATGCTGTTGGTAGGTGTTTGTGGATATCTGTCTATCTATCTATCGATCAATCTATCTGTCTATCTCAGCTGTGGGCGGTTGTGGGCGGTTAAAGGGTTAAAGAATGCTATTGGTAGGTGTTTATGGATATCTGTCTATCTATCTATCGATCAATCTATCTGTCTATCTCAGTTGTGGGCGGTTGGGGGTCGGTTGAAGAATGCTATAATTATGTGTTTTCTATATTATGTATACTGTCTATCTATCTCAGTTGTGGGCGGTTGGGGGCGGGTTAAAGGGTTAAAGAATGCTAGCTATCTATATCTATCGATCTATCTGTCTATCTATCTCAGCTGTGGGCGGTTGTTGGAGGGCGGTTAAAGAATGCTATAATTATGTGTTTTCTATAGTTATGTATATTCTATCTGTCTATCTATCTCAGTTGTTTGGGGGCGGGTTAAAGGGTTAAAGAATGCTATAGGTATATATGGTACTATCTGTCCATCTATCGATCAATCTTCTGTCTATCTATCTCAGCTGTGGGCGGTTGTGGGTGGAGGGCGTTAAAGAATGCTTTAGTTATGTATTTCTATAGTTATGTATATTCTATCTGTCTATCTATCTCAGCTGTGGGCAGAGAACGGTCAAAGAATGCTATAGGTGGGTATTTATGGATAGCTATCTATCTGTCTATCGATTAGTCTATCTGTCTATCTATCTCAGCTGTGGAAAGGTGGGGAAGGTTGCTTTGTGTATATAAATATCCGTCTATCTATGTATGTTTATATAACTCTCCATATCTTTATATCTATCTAATCTTCCGTCTGTCTATCTCTGTCTATTCTATCTATCTATCTATCCATCTATCAATCTATATATCAGTCTATCTATCTGTATGTCTGTCTGTCGGTCCATCTATCTATCTATCTATCTGCCTCAGCCGCTGGAGGTTGGGGAAGAATATGTGTATAGAATTGTCTGTCTATCTGTTTAACTATAGATCTAGCCTGTCTGTTTGTTTAGCTATCTATCTATACACTTCTCTATCTATCTGTCTATCTATTTTCCTCTCTGTCTATCTGTCTGTATATATTTCTACCTATCTATATACTATCTATCTATCTGTCTAACTATTTGCCTCTCTGTCTATCTATCTACATATCTCTCTACCTATTTAACTATCTATCTACATAGTCTTTTACAAGAATCCTTTTCATAGTTAAAAGTTAAAACCTATGCTAAGACATGTACATATTCTATTACAAATACACAATTTACCTTCGTCAGGGGTCCCTTCTGCAGCAGCGAAAGAAATATGAACAGTTTAGATATTATTTTGATACAACTGATACAATCTTTTTTATTGTAATGTATTTGTGTTCTGTGGGGGGGGGGGGGCGTTGTGTATTTAGTTTGTATGCGTGTTTTTTTTGTTTGTTAGTTTGTGTGTGTGTGTGTTTTGGTTTGTGTTTGTGTGTGTGTGTGTGTGTGTGTTTGTTTGTGTGTGTTGTGTGTTTGTGTGTGTGTGTGTGTGTGTGTGTGTGTGTGTGTGTGTGTGTGTGTGTGTGTGTGTGTGTGTGTGTGTGTGTGTGTGTGTGTGCAGTGCGTGCTTGTATACTTCAAAACGCATCGTTCAATCAGAAATACGAAAACATTAAAAAAAAATCTTCCAAAAATAAATTGCAAGCAAAGCAAAGTCATAATGATAATAATAATAATAATAATAATATAATAATAATAATAATAATAATAATAAAAATCTGAAATTCAACTTTTATTTCTAAATCTGCAACAAAATATAGATGATATAGGCCTCAAAGACATTTTCTACTTACCTTATATATATTTTGGAATTTGATTCATAAATACAGAGTTAGCAGTCGATTTATAAAATATACTACTAGCGTACCATACTATAGTAAGACTATTTTTTTTTTTAATATTCGATAATTACTCAGTCTCTGTAATTTGCACTACTTGGATATATATATATATATATATATATATATATATATATATATATATATATATATATATATATATATATATATATATATATATATATTTTTTTTTTTTTTTTTTTTTTTTTTTTTTTTTTTTTTTTTTTATCCTATCTATTCCTCTGTGTCTCAGTACTTTCTGTTTCCTCTTTTTTTATTCCCGTTTCCTGTAAATTAACCGGTATACCTCATTTCCTCTATTTCTGTCAGTTGTTATCAAATTTACCGAAATCAATATACTGAATTATGAGTACTTATGACAACAGTTGAACAAATATCCATATAATCTACGTACTCGTATACATTCATATATATATATATATATATATATATATATATATATATATATATATATATATATATATATATATATATATATATATATACATACAAAATATATACACACACACAAACAAAACACGCATTCGTGTATATATATAAATCTACACACACACACACACACTATAGATAGATAGACAGATAGATAGATATACAATATATAGAAATAAAACACAAATACACACATACATACACACACACACATACATACACAACACACCACAGACACACACACAAAACAGACACAAAATAAACAGATACGACACACACAACACAAAAAAACACCACACAAAAAAGACACAAAAAACAGACACGCACACAAAACAGACACACAAAAAAAACACACACACACACACACAACAACAGACACAAAAAACAGACACACACACAAAAAACAGACACGCACACACAACACAAAACAGACCACACACACAACAAAAAAAAAACACACACACACAAAAAAACAGACACACACACACACACACACACAAAACACCGGAACGGCAGCCCCGCGCTCGCTGCCATCCCGCGCGGCTCCTTACCCTGGGTCCGTCCACCGTGTTGACGAGGGAGTCCACCTGGAGGGGAGGAGGGCGGGCCACTGGGGGTTCTGGGGTGGTGGCTGGCACGGGGGTGGTCGTGGGTAAAGGAATCACGGATCCCATCTAAAGGAAACAAATGATATCCGGTTTGTAGTGTCGGATTCCCTTCGGGTAGAATCGAGTCGTGAGCTGTGATGCACTTTTGGGGGGTTTTAGAGGTTCGAAATCTAAAGGGCGGGTTATGTTACGGATATAAATTGCTATTTTTAAGTTATCTATATCAAAAAATGTAAGGAAATGCCTCTACATTAAAAAGTATATAGATATAAATGGCAATTGATATGCTAGCGGCATAGAAAACTTATTTGGAATTGGAACTAGACCAAAATTGTAATACTTATAAACTACAAAGGCAACAGTAGTGACATCTATACTTTAGAGGAGAGTGATGACGTAATTAAAGCTACTGATGCCAAATTAGAAAATAAATATTCATAAAAGGAAAGAACAAGATGCCATTTTTAACATTAATATGAAAAGTGAATGCTAGAGGGAAAGGCCAGATCAGCAGCAACTGGAGGAGGTGTCATGGCGCCTGCTTCTATTTTTGGGGAAAAAAAGCACGTGGTGTTTACTTTGATGACGTCACAAAAGTTCCCGGATGCTTTGTGAATATTGGTCGACCATTTTGGTTTTTCAATTTTCAAAAAGGATGGAAAATAATGACTTTAATGGTTATATTTTCACTGAACAGTCATCAGAACAGACACCATAACACCTCCTCGAGTTGCTACTGATATAGCCTTTCCCGACGGCTAGAGAAGGTGAAAACAACGGTTGATATTCACAGTAATATGAAGAAAAAAAATATATAAGGTCTTTGGCGATAAAATTCCGTTGTTGATACCAACTCTTAGCTTTATTTCTTAACACTACAGACCTAAAACAAGAAGTATATGGTATGCTGACAAATATACCCTGGTTATACTCTACGATATACTCTTCCAGTGGAAATACCAATAAATAAGTGATATAAGTCAAAAAGAACTTGAAATAGTGTTCCTTTATTAGTATAACTATGAAGATTAACAAATATTAAGTAAAAAAAAAAAAAAAAAAAAAAAAAATCTTGGAATAAGTCAAAAAGAACTTGAAATAGTGTTCCTTTATTAGTATAACTATGAAGATTAACAAAGATCGAAAAAGGGGGGAAAAGGTATAACTCAAATGGTATACTTAAGTTGCAGGAGGAACGCAAAATGAAAGTATATCAAGGAAAGTAACATTCACTCGCATAGAAATATGTCGTCAGTAATATCTATGTATAAGGAGTGAACATTCTGATCTTTATCTGTACTAAGAGTGATACATCTATTAAAAAATATTTTGTTTAAGTATTTTAGTCCATCTCTAACTACATT